ACTAAGAATACCAATGTTGTTATCGAAAAGGCAAGTGTGTGATATTTTTGTTTGATCGGCTTAGAAGCTAATATTAGTTCGAAAAAGTTAAATTTTACTTAGCATATTTTTTGTTGAATTAATATCACAAAATAAAGTAACTTGAAAAGGTACAGTTCAATTTAGACAACCTGTGTATCTGCATGTACAAGGTATTTTTCTTAAGAACTGTTAATATTATATAGATAAATGTAATAGACATAATTGATATAAATAACTGATGTATTTCAAAAGTAAACTCAATAAGGATTTAGGTCTATTTCTCTATACTCAACATGCGATAACATGAGTATATTATGTGTGTTTTAATATTTAATGTCTAAAATATATTGTCAATTTTAAAATTTAATGTCTGTCTGTCCGCCAGTTTCCTTAAATATAAATTTTCTCCAAGAAGGACGTTTTTTTTTTGAAAATAGGATCTTCGAAACGTGTTTCGAAAGCACCAATATTGCAACCTTTCGGTAATATATAATTAAAATAATAAAAATAGTATTATTTTTATTGAACCAAACATATTTTTATTAAAAAAAAATATGTGGTGTTTGAACGCGATTCACCAAAGAACTGTACAAAAAGCATTGAATACAATTACGATTCGAAATAGATTATTATGAGTGTTCTTCATATTTTTTAATACCCGAACTATTTCGAAAAATTGAATAACCGAAATATTTAAATCTTTTGAATATTGAAGAAAAAACTTGATACTAATTTAAACTATAATTCTTATCTGGTTTGTTGATTTATTACTATAAATAATTGTTCGAAAACAATGATGAATAAATTGGTATTGAGGCCATTGTTAATATAATATATATATACTTGTTTGGAGATAAGGTTTAACAATTTGAAAATGTGAAAGCTAACTAGTAATTTACCTCCTGCAACTGTTTAAACTTATAACCATAACCAAACTAATCTAAATTTGAATAGTTCTTAAGATATATTCATAAGATTGTTTTGTTTTTGAAACCGTAGAAGATGGAGAATGTCTGCCAATGGGATTTTTACTTTGGTATGCCAATCGGAGTATTTGTTCGCAAATATTTACTTCATTATGTTGCATTTTATAGTCCATTTATATTGCACATTTATTTATATATAAAATAAAATTGCATATTAATTTTTTTATTTTTAAAATTAAAAAAAACAGTAACGTACTTTATAGGATGCGGTCAATATTTTGTAGGCATTTATGTTATAATTAAACAAGTGACAAGTGTGCGATTACTTATCGCAATTAAAACGGAACCTTAAGAAATGCTATTGAACTTCAAAGTGTTTAGTTTGTAACAGTTTATTGTGCCTATTATTTGCTATGTAAGTACTTCAAGCAAATAAGTAGTATTTAATTCAGACTTTAAATGAACTTCAATAATATACCTATGTAGTAAAGTAAATATTTTTTGCATTTATAAACCTAAAACTTCAAAAACTCTATAAATCTCCTCAATCGATCAATATTTAGATCAGTTAAAGTCCTTTGCCAAGTACGAGATTAGAATCCGAGATTAGAAATTTCTAGGTAATATCTTATACGGCTTTCTTAGAAATGTTCATTTGTTGCAAAAGAATTAAAGTTTTTATAAATTTTTTTAGTCGAATGCAAATTTTAAATAAATACTTTTTGGGTATAAGCCATTTCTTCACTACAACCTTGAGAGTAGCAATGTTCGAAAAAAAAATATAACAATAATTTTAACTAAGAAGGCAATTATAACTACAAACGGGTTTGAGAGCCGTTCATCGAATCGAACATTTTCTATTTGATTTGAGTGTATTCACTTTTTCGACTATGGATCTTTGTATTCGAATAATAAGATAACTTTGTAATAACAACAACATATATTTGCATTCGACATGCGTTAGGTTATTACCGATTACTATGTTACGCGGTTACCAAGCTCGTTACACAAGATCGTGAATAAACCTTATATTTTCACACTAAAATTAATTAAGAACAAACTCATCACTAAAGAACATTTAGTACGTTTACACTATTGATATAAATGTATAAGAACACTCAATCAAATGCTAATAAAAACAAATATAAAATATTGAAAAATAAATTTAAAATAAAAAATAATATATTTTTAAAAATGTTTAATTAATTTTAATTTTAATTAATTGAATTTAGTTTTGATTCATTGTTTGCTAATAAGATTGCATTAGCGTAAAGTCTTATATGTGCAATTAACTCTAATTGAGTTGCGCTTATCATCTCTAAGTGTAAACATAGCATTACAAACCCAGCTTATTGTAAATAAAAAGGACTATATTCTTGTTCTGCCGAGTATGAAATACACTGCAGATAGAATTTAAGTTAAATATATATAAAGTAATGGTATTAACTATTTATAAAATTAAAATTAGAATTTTATTATAGAATTGCAGTTTGTTTGTGAATTCCCAAGTAAATATTTTCCAGTCTATAATACGATATTAATATAAAGTAATGTTTTGAAATCTGAATCAATGGAATATATAATATATTACTGATATATCAGTAATTAATAATATTTAGCATTAAAACATTTAGATTTATATTTAAAATTTAGATATTATATGCTCTTCTTATGAGCGCGTATATCTGTATTATCAGTTTTATAGTAGTAATATAAAAATCATAATCAAACTGTATCAAATTTGCAGAGGTGTTAACTGCTTATATTCGATATATATTCAATTTTTATCATACATCTTAATAGATAATGTAGAAAATTTGTTGTGATTTTATAGTTTAGTATAAAATAATTGGACACAGAACCTCTTGTGGGATTTGCAATCTTATTATTGGGTACAAAACACGGTGCGTAAAACGATCATGTGAACAATATCGGTGAAAATATAGCCACTGGTAGAGCTTATATAGCCAGTAAGTTTAATTGTGCATATATAAGCCAAAGGTACGTGTGGTTAGGTAGGTGAGTCTAGCTGAAAACAAGCGACTCGCTATATATGTGTATAAAGTTGGATTATTACATAAGTATGGACTCATTAACTATAACTTCCTTAACTATTCAACAAACAAACTCTTTTGCTAAAGTATGTATATTCATTGAAAAAATATCTGAAATTTTTAATTTCATATAACCGTCTTCTGAGCAGAAGAAACCATTTTTCAGAAGCAAATTTTCGGAACGGTTCAATGATTGGACATGATGATTGGTATTGGTTATGTTTATAAATAAGGGTAATATGACTAAATATTTTATTAAAATACTTTTAGTTGTATTTACAGTGAAAATAATTTTATTTCAATTTATCAATAATATATTTTTCTTACATTATTAAAATTATTGATGTGCAATCGCCCAACAACCGGTACTGCGGTCAGAAAAGTCATACTTTAATCTGTTTCAGAATAATTAGCTTCGTGAAACAGAGATTTTGATTCTAAATCAGTTCAAGAGCCGATTCACAGTAGCACTGTAAACTATATATTGTATATAATTGGTGTATATATTTTAAAGAATCATATTCCAAGAGAAAAAATGGATATACTCATATATACATATATATACATATGGTGAAAAAAAATGTAATGAATATAATCGCATCGTTTTCATCCGAGATCAGACGCGTAGTCAGAGGAGAGAACAAGAGGAGTTAAATGGAATGACTTTATTTACACATATGTCATTATCTGATATCCGCCCAAAGTCAACTTCTCGCTTTTTGCTATACCCATGTGTCTTGAAAAAATACTATCACTTAGAGTGACGTATTTACAAATATAAAAATAAAATCGCTGAAGAAATCACCCTACTCCCTTTACCATTACCCTTTCTCCCTAATAAACGCTCCTGCTTTCTGGCTTAGATGAAGCTAGTCCACTAAGTATTAAGCCTATGTGTTCACATCTCTCTCCCTTGATTACTGGAATGAAGTTTCCTTAATGCTGTGGAAATCTCTTCCATTCATTCCTAAGAGGTTGTTTTAGTGGGTTCAAGTCTCACACTGTGGCTTGCGATGCTTTCCACCTACTGCAAAAAATCAGCTTTTGATCAGCTCAATCAGCTTATGAAAAACGTAATAAGGATTAGGTCCCGCGTTGACTTAGTAAAATTAGAATAACTGGCATAACTTTTTCAAAATATCTATGGATTTTAAAATATTGAACTAGGACATCACCACCGGTCACCAAAGAAATAAAAAGTATTTAAAAAAACTTTAAATATTTTCTTTCCATATGACACCTAACCTAATAGGCAGAGACAGAATTATTATGTCGTTTGCAGAGTGCAAGTTTTTAGTACATGATATCAAGTCTGATGAAACTTTCACACCTAACATACGTAGTATCTCTAAAACAGATATTACTATATAAATACTCGTTATATGTTTATTTCGTTGTTCAAGGTTATCAATATCTATTTGCTTACAAAGTTATTTTCTTATAAGCGAGTACACTTGGAACAAATAGTATTACCAACAGTAACAGTTGGTTTTTTTATAAAGCAACCAGTGGGTAACATTTACATTTTATTTTATAAAGTATATTTTCACACACCCAATGAGTTCTTGACATTCACTTTACGAATTTGTTCATTTATTATAAATAAATTGAATATGCAATTCACAAATAGACAATATAAGGGCCAAGAAATTAATCACTACCATCACTCTCTCCTTCCTAACATATGAGAGGACAGCAGGTAGATAGGTGGGTGTACGACTTATTTTTATTCTGAAATTCTTGGTGAGCATTAAGTGAAAATGAGCTGCATTAATTATGTGTGTATGCATGTATGTATATATTTTCTCTAGTTTAATGTTGAATTTATGGATATACAAAAATCTGTATTAATATTGAATAAATATTAATTCATTAAAGTGTTTTGAGTTAAAGTCTTTAATTAAAAAATAAAAAACATTTGATTTAATTTTGAACAACACAGCATTTATGCAAAATTTTATTTTCTTGGTATTATAAAATATTTTTTTTGTGCACTCACATTTTATACCACGTACAACACCACTTAAAGACTTTTCCCCATAACTTTTAGTTAATGTATGTGCTGGTTTATTTACTCTTATTGTTTAACTACTTTTAATTTTTCTTTTGCGAACATTCGATATTTTCAAGATACCAACAGATATCTGTTACTATTTTCATTTGTATGACTAAACTCACTTCAAGCACCTAATATTAGTACATTTTTCATATTTAATGTTAGCCTCTATTAAATCCATTAATATTTCTTAGAATATATTATACTTTTACATTTTATGTATTTTATGTGCAAATATTGAAATTTTAATAAAATTATGTGTACATTATAAACATTTTTCTGTATTCACTTTCATCATTTTCGCGCTTAGGAAAATGTAAACAAACAGAAAAAATGTACCAAGTACTAATCTAATACGACAAACGTCGAAACAACAACAAATTGTATTGATGTCATGTGTCTTGGGTATGTTCAGTTTAGGTCTTAAATTCCATGTGTATAACCGATGTATACATCAGCTGTGCCAAAGAAATACACTGAAAAAATTATTGAATAATTTAGTAAAATAATTAATTATATATTAAAACAAGAAAAAGCTAATATTGATTTTACTGAGGTTGGTATTTTTTATATTGGAATTTGATCAATTCTATTTTTAAATTTAATTGTTAAATTGAAATCAAGTTACATGTACAACTTGTTTTTATTATTAAGTATAAACGCCAACAATTATTAAATATACAACATGTTAATAAGTTCGAAATTGTTTTTTTAGTTGTTATTTTGGTTTATAATGTATTAAACTATTATGCATATAAATAATTAAATGTTTAATCTCAGTTGATTGTTAATTGATTTTGTATACGGATCAGTTTATTTTACATACAAACTATGTATTCTTTATGCAATTTATCCTATATATCCTATTTATCCTATTATTATTATCCTATAATATTCCATATTATCCTATTCTTGGTTATATTTACCATTCAGTAGCAATAGTCTTGCATTATTGGATTTTGCAAATAAGTTTTTTAGAGTTTTGGTTTCTGGAATAATTTATAACATAATTACCTATAACATAAATATGTAAATACATAAGTTAAACCTTGATGCTTGTTTACAGCACTACAATCCACTACACTACAATTTGAAACTCATTTTTTAGCGAATATATATTAGATAAGTTCAGCTCTTCAAAAGCCTCTTAAGTTTTATGAAAGGTTCGAAATAGTTTAAAAATCCTTTAGAAGGTACAAGCACTGTAATAACACAACTTAACCAACTCCTAGCTAGCTAAATTATATTTTTCGAAACTAAATCAATTAATCTGTATATAACCTATTCAGATTTGATTAAATAAAAGAGAAATATCTTTACATTGTTCTATTTTTAATAACTTTTAATATATTTGCCTTACATGTCTGATATTCACTTTTATCTGTTTTAAAAAAAATTTGTTTCGTGTTGCAATTAAATTAGATTAAAAAACAAAGATGCCTGCTGATATCCAAGGCAATGAAATAACAGACAAACTTGCAACAGAAGGTGCGGTCTTAATAATGAAAGGCCCAGAACCTTTCTGTGGTCTTGGCAAAGGAACTCTATCCATTCTTATGAATGGCGCTGAGGAAAAAGAAAGGGAACTATATTGGGAAAGGCTACCAAGCCTATTACAATTTAAAATGCTTTTAGGGACTTACAACCTAAAACGATTCAAAGATTGCATAGAAAAATCAAAAAATAATCATCACGGGATTATTGACTGTAGAGTGAATAATCACCTAACGAGGTTACGAATTCAATCTAACTCAGACTGCAAATACTGTAGAGAAGAGAAAGAAGCTGTATACCATATGCTTGGGGAATGCCCGACGCTGGTGCACAAGCGGAAGAAACACTTAAGAGAGTATTGCATGGATCATAAGAATTCAAGACTAGAAAATATAAGCTTTGTACTGTTTTTCATTAAAGAAATTTCATGGATCATAAGAATTCAAGACTAGGAAATATAAGCTCTATACTGTTTTTCATTAAAGAAATCGGACTTGAAGAAAATATATTTCATATTTGGAGAAAATCGACTGACAGTACGTTTATGTTATTGATATGGAAATGTGTGTCGAGTTAAAAAATAATATTAATTATTGTTTCAAACTATTTCAAAATTTTATAGAACTCTTAATGCTGATAACCAGATTTAAAAGTATAAAGGATGAGTAACATATTAGCTAACTGAAATTTATTAAAGCCATGCGTTCGAAATAGATTATTATGAGTGCTGTTCATATTTTTTAATATCCGAACTATTTAGAAAAATTAAATATCCGAAATATTAAAATCTTTTGAATATTAAAAAAAAACCAGGTACTAGTTTAAATTACGTGCAAGCTGGATCTTTCTAAATAGTATTAAAGTTGAATGAAATTATAATTATCATGTGGATTGCTGAACTATGTATTAGCTTAAATTTTGTATAAGCAGAGCGATTCTGAAACTATGTGGTTGTTTGAAACTATAATTCTTATGTGGTTTGTTGATTTATTAATATAAATAATTGTTCGAAAACAGTTATTATGAATAAATTGGTATTGAGGCCATTGTTAATATAATATATATATACTTATTTGGAGATAAGGTTTAACAATTTGAAAATGTGAAAGCTAACTAGTAATTTACCTTCTGCAACTGTTTAAACTTATAACCATAAACAAACTAATCTAAATTTGAATAGTTCTTAAGATATATTCATAAGATTGTTTTGTTTTTGAAACCGTAAAAGATGGAGAATGTCTGCCAATGGGATTTTTACTTTGGTATGTCAATCGGAGTATTTGTTCGCAAATATTTACTTCATTATGTTGCATTTTATAGTTCATTTTATAGTTCATTGCACATTTATTTATATAAAAAATAAAATTACATATTAATTTTTTTATTTTTTAACAGTAACGCACGTTATTGGATGCGGTCAATATTTTGTAGGCATTTATAATTAAACAAGTGACAAGTGTGCGATAACTTATCGCAATTAAAACGGAACCTTAAGAAATGCTATTGAACTTCAAAGTGTTTAGTTTGTAACAGTTTATTGTGTAATTAAATAAATATTTTTTGCATTTATAAACGTAAAACTTCAAAAATTCCATAAATCTCCTCAATCGATTAATATTTAGATCAGTTACAGTCCTTTGCCAAGTACGCCTATTTGAGATCAGAAAATTCTATATAATATCTTAAGAATCAGAAGATCCAAGCCACAGATTCCTCAAAACCGCGTTATATAATCAAAGATGAGCCCAAATCTTCATTGCTGTTCACATTTAATAGAATATTTCGGCTACAAAAATGTATATAGACGGTTGTTCAGTGCAAATTGGCTTATGACTAAAATTTGATTTCATCGATCGACACTTGTAACGGATTTTTTGGCTTTAAATTCCGTTTTTACTGTCAAATACTGTTTCCTTCACCAAATTTAGCACTGTACTACTTTTACTTTTCGGAAAAATGCATTTGCTGATGGAAGAAAAAGATTTTTTAGGAAGAACGTAGACATTCTTTCTGACAGTGGAAAAAAATGATTGAGTCTGTCACTTAAGGCGTAATAATTCCACTTCTACTTGCTTAAATGATATAAAATGTTGACAGTCCACCAATGAATCCTCTCGTTTATAGACGCATGTGATTGCCAATAGATTGCTACTATAAAACTATTGAATTCTGTTTTAATAGGCCTATTAACTTAGGAATGCACCTTATATCTAAAAACATATAGCTTAGGTCGAAATATGTATATGAAAAGATGAGTCATTGTAGTTTTCTCAAAGAAAGTTAGACGCGTCAGGATGTCTGCCACAGCTAGGTACTGTTTTAAATGTACCATGTTTTGGAAATGAGATAACAGGTACAATCAATCGGCAAGCCAGTTCTTTTCGTTGTTTGCAAATCTGGTTTAACACAGTTAATAATACGTTAGATAAAATCAATTGTGCGCAGAGATTAAAAGTACTTCTATATTAATAATGCAAACTGTTTAAAATACTTGCTAAAAATTTTCAAAACATCTGCCCTTTACATATGTACTTGTATATGCAGATTTATGTATGTACATAAGTACACACCTATGTACTGTAATTGAAAATATTTATAAGATTTTAATGCGCTTGCCCTTCTTTTCTATGCACATTATCTTCGCCGTAAATCCAAATTGAGCTTTGTTGTTGTTATTGTTGTTATTGTTGTCATTGCTTAAGATTTATAATAACTGCACAAAAGGTAAATGTCGGAAAAAACGTCAAGGTGTTTACATGTACAAAAACTGTTTAACTATTTAAATGCATTAAAATGTATGAATTTACATTGACACGCAAGTATATAAGAAAATGCATACGACGCACTTACATACTTACGTGCCGATCCAAATCTCAGCTGTCCTAGGGGTTTATATGCATGTGTGTACGTAGAATAATGAAAGATTATTCCTGTAAATGTAGTCCTGACAATTATTTTTTTCTCTGTTGTTGCTTTTCTTCAATTTCTGGTTTTGCTTTGAATTTAATTCTTAAGATTTTGCGCGACTTTCAACTATCCTCGGCAATTATACACGTAACGCTGCGAACAAGCATGTGTGCGTGTTTTTGCTGTGTGAATAAGAAAATATCACCCCGAGAAGAACACGAGTTAAAGTGATTCAATTCCAGTCGGGTTCAATGAATGCAAGAAGTACACTTCCTACCTTTCTGTGGCTAAATAAATACTTCAACAGAGAAGTTTGGAAGAAAAACTGTCGTCGTCGAATTACGTTATATTCCCATACTAGCCTGTAGTTGCTTATGGCTGGCTTTATTCTATTACGTGTACTTATTTCTTCTGTTTTTTTTTGTGATGTTTTTTTTTGTGTTATGATATTCCTTCTGCTGATTGCAACAATAACAGTTGAAAACATCGCAATAATAAATATACAGAGATTGTCTATACAATATTTGTGGTACATAAGAGATATCTCTAAAATTATACGATCAACCCCTCGGCTCTGTGCGAGCTTATGCTGGCTAGTTAAGGCCCTCATAACTCGATAACGAGAACATATTATTCTCAGTTATTTTCCATTCGGATCGTTTTACTGTGTACATTATCAATGGATGTATGCAGTAAATCAACTTTTTTTCATCACAACCCTCATATTATAAAATGTGTCACATGCGCAATAAAAATATCCACTCCAACCC